AGCTCAGTGGGACAGCTCAGTGGGACAGCTCAGTGGGACAGCGGTGGGGACAGTGGGACAGTGGGACAGTGGGACAGTGGGACAGTGGTGGGGAGAGCGGGATCGTGGTGGGAACAGTGGTGGAGACGGGGACGGTGGGGACGGTGCGACAGTGGTGGGGGCACTGGTGGGGACAGTGGGGACGGTGGTGGGAAATGTAGGGACAGTGGTGGTGGGGACGGTGGTGCTGGGGACAGCAGTGGCGAACGTGGCGGACTGGTGGGGACCCAGGAGTCGTTTGCCGGCGGTCGAACCGGTAGTGACCCCCCCTGGTTTTTTGGGGGGGGGGTCGAACCGGTAGTGACCCCCCCGGTTTTTGGAGGGGGGGGGGGTTCGGGACCCAGGGAAGGGGGGGGGGGGGAGGGGGGGGGTCCAGCAGGGGGGGGGTTCGAAGGGGGGGGACCCCCAGGTTTCGGCGGAAGAGAGGGCTGATTTTCCACAGTAAAGCGGCGGTGGATCACGCTCTCTCGGATATTGAGACCGATAGTAAGATCGATAGTAGGATCGATAGTTATTGAGGACGATCGTAAAGGTCGATCATGAGATCGATAGATAAGTCGGTTCAGTGATACCGATAATAGTGAGATCCATTGTGAGATCGCTCGTGCGATCGATTGTGAGATCGATTGTGAGATCGATCGTGAAATCGATAGAGGAATGGGTAATGGGATCGATGGTGAGACCGATCGATAAGGTGATCGACCAATAACCGGGGAACCTGGAAAGCAACCGGGAATCTGGGATCTTGGAACCGGAAACCGGGAACCTGGCCGCCTACCGCAATCGGCCCGGAGTTTTCGCCAAATGTTTCAATCTCCGCTAGGATCCCCTTCAGTGCAAGCACTGATTGGGGAACAATATAAATACGACTCTCCCTCCTTCCCTTAAGAAGACTGGAAGATCTCCCGCCCCCGCGTGCTGTTTTTTTACACGAGGTTTCGGGCATTGATTTTTTCGCACGGATTTGTTGCATCGATTGTTCTGATTGTTGTCTGTGTTTCAAAATCGTGTTCCTGCTGCAGTGTGGGCCTCATGTTCGGACCGACGCGTTGTTCACGTCGTTCAGAATGTCGCCTTCGCCCCAGCGCGGGCCACGTACCTGGATCCGAGTCTTGCTTCGTTGCGGTCCCCCCTACCATTTCCCCTCCTCCGCCTCTCTCGGGTCCTCCTGTTCCTCCCGCTCCTTCCACTCCCGTTCCTGCTGCTGCTGTTCGTCTCGCCCCAGCGCGGGCCCCGTTTCTGAATCCGAGTCTTTATTCATCGTTGCCGTTCCCCTCAGTTTCCCTCCTCCGCCTTCCCCTGGTCCTCCTTTCCCTCCCGATCCTTCCGCTTTAGTTCGGTTGCTGCTGTTCGTCCTCATCCTTTTTCTTCCGCTCATCCTTCTGCCCACCCGCCGCTTCTTCCTCCTCCTCCTCGTCGCGCTGCGGGCTTTCCTTGTGTTGCAGAAGGCCCCGTGGATCGTCCTCGGCGACTGGAACCACAAGCCGCACCAGCTCGCCCAGTCGGGCTGGGTCGCCAAGCTGGGCGGCGCGGTCATCGCCCCCGACGTCGCCACCACGTGCGACAAAGGGCAGGGCCGCCTGCTGGACTACGGCCTCGCCAACGACGGCCGCCAGCACTTGTTCTCGCTGAAGGCCTTCCTGAAGGTGTTATGGGCGACGCACTGCGGGCTCCAGCTCACCCTCCAGGGCGCCCGCCAGAGATGGTGGCATCAGGCGCTGGACGCCCCGCGCAGCCTCCCGGCAACCACGCGCGCCAAGGCGGTAGCGGACCCCAACAGCAAGAGGTCCAGGCAGAGGCATGCTGCGCTCCAACGGCGGGCGGCGGCCCTGCCGCCAGAGCTCGGCGCCGACTTCGAGGATGGGCAGCTGGGCCTCTGCCGCACCAGCGCGGAGGGCCCGCCGGCCAGTGGGCCGACTGCTGCCCTTCCTGGCCCCCGCCAGGGCCCCGTGGGCCACGGCGCCAGGGCCCCGTGGGCCACGACGCCAGCCCGCGGCCAGCCCCAGCCCCTGCGGATGGAGGCGGCTCCCTCCATGCCGCCCAGGCCGACCTCGACCAGATGGAAGGTGACGCGGAGGATGCGGGTCAACGCAGCTCCCGCCACAACGGCGCCGTCGCCCGCACCAACCTCTCGGGCGGCTGGGACCCTTTCGATGACCTGGCCGGCCGCGCCATCACCCGCCGCGGCCCCGCCAGCGCCCGCGACGAGCCGCCCGGCGGCCCCGGCGGCGCCCGGGCGGGCTCCCGGCGGGGGACACCATGTCTTTTCCGAGGGGAAAACACGGTCCGCGACGAGCTCCCCGGCCCCCCGGCGGTGGCCCCTGGGAGCTCCCCAAAGGCTCCCCCGGCGTTTCCGGCGCCGTCGCAAGGGCAGGCCCCAGGCGACACCCCCGCCGCTCCTGTCCTCGTCCCGCTGGACACCTGGCTCGGGGCCATACCCCGCCAGCACAGCGACGCCCAGGCCCACCCCGACCTGCTCCACCACCCCTTCTCCGACAAGCGCGAGGACCAGGCCCACGCCCTTGCGGAGCTCTACGGCAGCTGGGTCGTCCAGGTCGAGGCCGCCATCCTACAGCAAGAGGGCTGCGACAAGGCGAACTGGGCCGCCCGCCAGGGCAGGGCGCGCGGTTTCGGCGCCACCTGGAGGCAGACGGCGGCTAGCCCAGGCAGGGCCCACCTCCACCATCCTGAAGCTGACGCCTGGGCCATTCACAGCGCCAACCTCACGACCATCCTCGCGCTGGCTGCCAGCGGCAAGGACTACCGACAGCTGCTGTGGCGCCTCGACTTGCACCGAAGCACCCTCGCGGACATCGGCAAGCTCTCGGCCGCCAAGCGCACGGACCAGCTGGCGGACTACCAGCGCAGGGCCACGGTGATTCTCGACCAGCCCCGTCAGGAGCAGGCGGCCGCCAGGCAGCTGGCCCTCGACCTCGCTGGCGACGCCGCGCGAACGGCCCTCAGGCACGGACACCAAGCCTTCGCGACCTTGGCGGCCAAAGACACGCTGGGCCAACTCCACCGCTGGACCAAGGACGGCGACTTGGAGCGGCTCGAAGATCCCACCGACGGCGGCACCCTGGCGGGCTCCGTTGAGGTCGTGCTGGCCAAGTCCAGCACGTGGCAGAAGGTCTGGGCCGCCCCCGCCGACCACACGAAAGCCAGACCGGTAGCTTTGGCCTCGATCCGCGTTCTCGCGGCGCAGGAGACCCTCGAGCCTATCTCGGTGGACGGCCTCAGCGCGGCCACTGGCAAGTTGGGCCCCCGCGAGGCCCAGGGCGTCGACAGGCTCAGCCCGCTGGACGTCGAGCGCCTCCGCGACTGCGCCAAGGAGCAGTTCCTGGCCGTCCTCCACCAGGCTGAGGCGCACTGCGTGTGGCCGCCGCAGCTCAACGGCACCCTGGGAGCGGTAGCGAGCAAGCATGCGGGAGGGGGCCGAGTCCTCGGCCTGCTCCCCATGCCTGTTCGCATCTGGGCTCGTGCGCGCAGTGGCATCGTCGACCAGTGGGTCCAGGGCCTGGAGGACCACTGGGACACGGCCATCAAAGGGTCGTCCGCCTTGCGAGTGGCCCTCTACCGAGCCACCCTGGACGGGGCGGCCCAGGGCATGGGCGTCCACCGCGCCTCGCTGTACGCCGACATCGCGAAGTTCTTCGACTTGCTGGGCCTCGCCTGGCTCATCGAGCGCGCGGTCGACCTCGGCTTCCCCCCCGCGGTCCTGGCCCTGGAGGTGGAGACATTCTCCGTGCCGCGATGCCAAAAGCAAGGGGAATGGGTCGGCCCCCCGATCTTCGCCAGCCAGTCCATCGTTGCGGCCTCCACCAACGGCGCCAGGTTCGGAAAGATCTTCCTGTGCCCCATCCTGCAGGCGGCCCAGGCCCAGGCCCAGGCCACCGCCATTTGGTCGTACATCGACGACACCGTCTGGCGCGCGGAAGGTACCGAGGCCGTTGTCACATACTCTCTTGCCGTTAATTACCCGCGCGGCCCTGGCCCAGCAGCGCAGCGTCTGCCGCCTCGCGATCTCCCCCAAGACCACGCGCGTTGCGTCCTCGGCCGCCCTTCGCAAGGTCATTGGCAGGCGCGCGAGGCAGCGCGGAGTCCCAGGCCACGAAGCCCACCGCGCGGTCGACCTCGGGGTCGACGTCGTCGCGGGCAACAAGAGGTCCCAGCGCGCGGCCCATGCCAGGCACAGGCTCTTTCCCTCGCCTCGGCTGCCCGACTACGCGCCCCCGCTCCCGGGCGCGGTCATGGCGCGATGCGCGGCGAGCCACCCAGCCGAGCTGGGCCCTAACCAGACCTACCGGCAGCGCGCTGCGCCGACATCACCCCGCCCGCCGCATGGCCCCGCGGAGGCCGAGCGGGAGGAAGGCCCCTCGGGGGCAGACGAGCGCACCTTCGGCCAGAAGATCGCTTATCACTCAGCGCGGCCAGGAGGCGGATCACAGGCCCAGGTCCGCCAGGGGACCACCGCCGGCAGCGCCGGTCGACCGGCGGCCACGCGGCCGCGCCGCGCCCGTCCTGCGGCGCGCATGTCGCCCAGTTGGTTAGAGGAGTGCGCTGGGGCCCCGACGGGGGCAAGTCTGTGCCAGGATATCTTCGCACTTCGACCGCTGCCCCAGACGCGCGGGTGGCCGATGCCAGCTGGGCGAGGAGCACCCATTGGGCGGGGTGCGCTAGCAGCGGGCGCGCGGACAAGCACCACCCGACCGAGCACCGCGAGGCTCGGCCTCGCCCGACCTGCGACGCGCATGCCGCCCAGTCGGTTCGAGGAATGCGCTGGGGCCCTGACAGGGGGCATCTCTGACCCAGGGTATCTCCGCCCCCCCGGCTCCTGCCCCAGACTTCTCAGACGCGGGGATGGCCGATGCCAGCAGTCCGGGGAGCACCGACTCATCGGGGTGTGCAAGCGGCGGGGGCGCGGATCACCACCTTCGGCACGCCGCAGGGAAAGGGGCAGCGGCGGACTCGCCACCGGCGCCGCCGACGCGCGGGCGGCGGCTTTCCAGCAAGTTTCCCGCCGGCCGCGACCCTAAGCGCCGCCGCCCCGCCTCTGCTGCGCGGCGCGTGGCAGGCGGCGCCGAGAGGGCGGGGAAGTGCCGCCAATGCGGCCCCTTGGGGCCACCGCCGCCCCAGGGGTTTCCCGCTGCCCACCCCGTGGCGGTGGCGAGGAGGGGGCGGACACGCCACTGGCGTCGCCGGAGCGGGCGCGCGCGGCGCGCGGCCCGTGTGTACCTGGCGGTGCATAGGTTAACCGCCCCGTCCCCCCCACTTCTGGCTCCCTGGACCTCGTGGGCCTGCTCATGGTGGCCAGGGCCGCCGTGGAAGCTGCGCCCACCCACCATCCTCCTCGTCCTGTGCACGCAGTTTCCCTGTCCCGATTGCGCATAACACGAAATTGTCTTTCTGTGTGAGTCGCAGGTCGGCTATGACACGCGTCCGCGGATAGAGCATCAGTGCCACTGGCAGGAATGGGAAGGAACGATGGGATATCAGATGAGGCGCGGGTGCACGTCCAAGACCCGCCTGCAGAGGTTGACCCCGGTCGGGGGGGTACCCCCCTAATTACGCTTATTAAGAAACCCGGAGTGTGCGCAGCCTCGCGGGCCGGACCCCTGGTCCGCGACCCCGTGGATGCGGAGCGCTTCTTCGCGGATGCCCCGCGCGTAACGCATCCGCGCGACCGCGCATCCGCGGGACCGCGCCCTGGAATCAGGCACCGCGGGGGCGCGGATGCGGACACACTGGCCCCTCGTGAAGTGCGGGTCGGGGTGCACCCCTGGGAGGGGTCCGGGGCCGACTCTGAGCGGGTTTTGGGCCAGGCGGGAGAGCCGCCGGTGTCTCCATTGGCCCCCTTTCTAGCAAGTGGGGCTGGGTTTTTCTGGGGTCGGAGGATCGGCTCGTCGCGGATGCATCGGCGATGTTGCGCGATGCATCGGCGATGCGGCGATGCGGCGCTGATGCATCGGCGATGCGGCCCTGGGAGGCGTTTCAAAACGCCGACAAACGATGGCGATTCCAGACATCCGGAGGATCGATTTTTCCATCACAGCATTTTTCTGCCTCTCGGTCCCCCAGGGGAGGTTATCGGGGCCCAGGGAAATCAGACATGTATCTAGGACGAAAGTCTGCCCACGACGTGGTCGAGACCTTTGGGGCGCGGGCTGAGCAAATCTCATCGTCGGCGGATGTTTGGATCGGCGTCGAAGTCTTTGTTTGTCAGGATTCTGGGCGTTGCTGGAAGTCCCCGTCGCCGCGGCTGGGCGCAGCTCGAAAGCCTGGCCAGGAGTGCCCTCCAGGAGGTGTCTGGGTGAACCTCTTGATGAGTTTTTGTTGGAGGCTCGTCGTGAGCAAGAATGGTTTTACAGTGGGGGAGGAGGATGGACGAGGAGCCCCTCCATCGGCGGCGATCGAGGGGGGGGGAATGAGAAGGAAAAGGCCTTCCTTTTCAGACGGCTCGGGAGTTCCACGGCCTTCTGAGAAGTGTTCTTCGCCTTCCCCGAAGGCGCGACACACTTCTCAGACGGCGCGAGGCTTCTGAGGAGACCCCCGCCTTCCTAGAGGGCTTTCTTCTTCTGACTCTCCCCCTCCCCCTCCTCGCTCGCCGCCGACTCCAGGCGTCTAGGAAGGCCCAGGCGGCCACGTTGGCACGTCATAGAGAAGGACGGCATCTTCCGCAACTTCACGAGGAAGCAGCAGGGGCTGCCGCCGATAGACATCACGAAGCAGATACAGCCGGACGGTGGGAACCACCACTCACCGCAGCGGTGTTGCCCTACTCTCGAGGGGCAAGGTGTTTATTGGCGCGGATTCCAAACAGTGAGTTTGTGCCTTGCGGATTCCTGGATGTGCAAGCTATGTGGTTTAACCTAGCCGAGGGAGGCCATGAGTTTTGAGGATCTCCCCACCCCTTGTTTCTCTCGGCGGGGAATGAACTCCGCGCCCCCTCTTCCTCCTGCTCCTCCTGCTCCTCGTCGTTGTTGCCTAGCGGGTGCCGCGGAGAAGTGATCATTTGCAGCTATTGCTTCGACCCCAGTGAGTCGATAAGAGCGTCGAATAGATTATTAATTTCCACTGCTGGGGCGGCTCTAAGGACGTATCGCGAGTTTGTGGTGCAACTCACCCGCCGCGCAATATCTGCGAGCGACCACCTCCCATGCTCATGCAAACGTCCCACCCGTCATCCCACAGCTTGTTCGCACAGCTGATTAGCCCATGTTCTAAGCGAGCACACGGGCCCGTGGAACTCATCCGCGCAGAGACATCCGTCATGCAGGACACGAAATGGCGATGACGATGGTGGCGACAGCGACGGCAACGGCGACAGCGACGATGACGATGGTGGTGTTCATGGCGACGTTGGGGGCGACGTCGACGACGACGACGATGGTAATGGCGATGGTGATGAAGTTGATGGTGATTCGACCATGGTTCACCAATTGTTGTTTTGAAAGGAGTATTGGCACGCGCGCGGGCACGCGCGTGCGGCCAGCATGGTATCTGCTGCAGGGAATTCTCGCAGCAAGCGCTTTGTCGATCAGCACGCGTGCAGCGCACTGTGTGTTTGAGGGCTGGTGGGGGCGCGTCGATACCAGGGTTGGCTGGCCTGCTGTTATTTGATGTTCAGGATGACAAGCCGTGCAGAACAAATCTGAGAAGGGCACGATACGCGGAGGGGTGTGGATAACGCTGGCACCGTCAGGCTGGGGGCAGACTCTAATTCTCTTGCAGTGGAGGAAATTGAAGCGGCAGCCAGCGCACGGGTCGCCCACGAGGCGCCCAAGGGCGGTGACGGTTGAAAACTCGGAAGGCGCCCATGAGGCGCCCATGAGGCGCCCATTAGGCGCCCACGGGCGGGGGCCCTGCGAAAGCTTGGAGGTCCCGTGCAAGCATTGTTTGAGGATTTTTCAAGGTCCGCCCGGGCGTCTGGCGCTGGCGTTGCAACCCCCTTGGCGGCTCCTCTGGCCAGACGGGGTCCAGTGCTGAACCAAGAAATCCGCGCCGTTTCGTGTTCTCCGAACTCATCGCATCCGTTTGGTTCTTTCTCGGGGGTTCGTGGAGGGGTGTGCACCCCAAGGTGGGGTCAAGAAGTGAAACCAGCTGGAACATTGTATTTCTTGCTTTCCAGAGGCCGTTTCTGTGCAGGTCCCTCTGGTTTATCCCTTCTTTGCGACCCGCGATTCGTGTTTTCCCACGCTTTCTCCCCTCACCTCTGACTCCCTGGATGGAGGAGGGGGGTAATTGATAAGGGGAGAAGGCAGGACAGTACTTATGCGTAGAGCGGGGGCCTTTCAGGACAAGGGCAAGGGGGGCAAGGACAAGGGCAAGGGCAAGGGCAAGGGCAAGTGGTGAGGCGGAGACGGCCTGCCGTTCGCTAGCGCTTCTGCTGCAGCTGAATCGTCTAGTGACTTGCGTTAATGGTTCTACGTGCGCGCAAAAAGAACAAGCAATCGATGGTGTCTTTGTCGTCGTCAACACGGTGGAGGACTTTCACGTTCACGCGGTGAGAGGCTGATTATCAGCTTATCTTCTTGCTCTCATGTTTTTTTTTCCGCCGTCTTCTCGTCCTCGGCTCGTCGTGAGCCTCCTCATCGTCGGCCTCATCTCATGAACCGTTCTCGCCGTTGTCTTCGTCCTCCTCCTTTTGCTCCAGTGCGGCCTCTCCATCGATCTGGCACCCCACAATCGCTCAGCCGTACTCTGGGGGTATTGCCAAGGAGTACGCACTTTTGAACCTGAGGACGAATCCATGCGAATCCTTCCGTGCGTAAGTGGACAACACATAGTGACTCAAAGACCGTGCGGTGTTGGCCGCTATTTTTCGGATGTCGGCCAACCCGAGTCCCCCGAACCTGAGTCTTACGTCCCCCCAGCACTAGAGAGCGGCACCGCAGGGGCGGTGCTTCCCTTGGTGGGGCGACGCAGTTCAGGCGCGTGTCCCTCCCACGCACCAGTCACCGTCACGCGTGCCAGCAAGTGTCTACGAGCCGCGCACCAGTCACGAACGCCAGCAAGTACCCACGAATGCCCACCGCTCGCTGGACGCCGCCCACCACCCACCCACCACCCGCGACCACCTGCCAGCCACCACCCACCAGGCAGCCGCCCGCATCCCATGCAGCAAGCACCACCACGACCGCCACTGCCCCGCCAGCAGCCCAAGCTGGAGGAGCGTACCAAGGCGGTGCCGCGAGCGCCCGTGCTCATCCTCCCGCCGCTCGGGCTGCGATCCCGCCAAAGACAGGGAGCCGTGGTCGCGGGGCGCACCCCGTGCCAGACCCGGAGCTGCGCCCGTCGCGCGCGCCCGCCGCGTCTTCGTTCGAGTGGGTTCCCGCCGGGCCTGGGGGGCCCTCTGTGGCTGATTGTGGAGGAGTGCGCGCGGCGAGCATCCTCACCCTGTTGGGAAGGCCTAGCGGCTGGTGCAGCCGACCCTAAAGGGGGACGGCGACGACGGCGGCGGCGGCGGCGGCGACGACGACGACGCTGACGTTGTGGAGCCTTTCTTGGGGCTCTCTTGGGAGCCTCCCGCTGGGCCTGGGGGGGGCCCTTTGTGGTTGATTGTGAAGGAGTGCGCGCGGCGAGCATCCTCACCCTATTCCCGATCACGCCAGTCAAGCTTTACAGTCAGCCCGCAGAGGAAGGATGTGCAGTTTTCCCAAGGATGCCCTTGCATCCTTGCCTCCTCGGGCCACCCTTGGCCACTTTCGCTGGCCGCGCCCCGCTCGAAAAGCTTCGAAACGGCGTTCCAAGGCCCTTGCTTCCTGATCGTGCGTCCTTACGGTACGGGTCGACTGTACTTGTCGACAGGTGTCCCGTGCATTCTCGAAAATCCGAGTACGCCGATGCCGTGGATCTTGCTAAATTGTGTAAAGTTCGTGCCCCGCTCCGCAAGTTCGTGCGAGCTCCAACCAGTCCGGGACTCGATGGAAGGAATGTAGTAATTTCATGCTGCGTAATGTTGTCGACGAGGTCACCTGGAGCTTTTTACAAGGGTGCCTCCAGACAGGTATGCCCGCAGACCGAATCGCCACAGCTCGAGCTCAGCGAAAGGCCCCAAACGGGGGATTTGGGATTGGATTGCTCACCATTAATTTGTAGATTGTTTGCTCAAGTTTTTGCTTGTTCGGTCTGGGGCTGCGGTTTTGCGGTAGGTTTCAAGTATTTGTGAGTTTCGGTCTCGGTCCGTACATGGGCCCTCTTGCACGGAGCGTTTCAGAAAGTTGAGTTTTGATTTCGCTCGGTTGAGTATTGCTTTCGAAACAGAGCTTGTGGCTTCGCTTGTGGCTGTGGCGGGACCGAGTGGAAGGCATGCGACGCACGGTTTTCCGTCCCGTTTTTTTATGTGCCCTCGAACCCCAGCCCAGTTGTGTGGACATGGGTTCGAGCCTTCTCTACAAATAGCTATTCAGAAGGCTGGTTCTCGCTTGGCTGCACGCTGCATGGTAAACATCGTCTGACCGACAAGCAGCTCGCATTGTGACGGCGGCGACGAAGGCGAGGACGTCGTATAGACGATTGTGGCGACCACCACGACGAGGAGGAGCACGATGATGCTGATGAGTATGATGTTCATGCTCGTGCGCGTGGTCATGCCCATGCTTGTGCTCATGCTGCTGAGGAAGCCCTGGCCCGAGGCCCCAGGGCATGAGGGCCAGCTCAGCGGCCCTCCTGCTTCACCTCTCATCGGCGCTGCGATGCGCGACCGCCCACACGAAGACTGCGCAATGGAAACCTCTCTTCCTCCTCCTCCTGTTTCTCCTCCTCCTCCTTCTCCTCCTCCTCCTCCTCCTCCTCCTCCTCCTCCTCCTCCTCCCCCTCAGCGACCACGATAGGTACCTCGAGGTGGTGCAGCAGCTACGCTTCGCAGATGCGGCTCTGCTGGCGGGTACGGCGGCGACGAAGCAACGTGATGCTCATACGCCGTATAGCGTGGTACTGCACGGACAATTCATCATGACCAAGTTTGGCTGGAACGGAGCACGCGGAACGATGGTGAACAAAGCATGTGGCGTGGAGAGATGGCTGAACCGCAGGCGGTTTCGCAAGAACCAGTTGGTACATTTTTGGACGGTCCCCCCAGCATTGCACGGACGACTAGGAGCAGTTAGGGTACGTTCCAGCCAACACGATGGCATTTGTATTGTCAGTTCGTTTCCACCACGGTGTACGGATGCGAAGGGGACCCCACGGTACGAGGCGACGGCACGCAGGATGACGGAAGTGCATCAGAGCATCACAGGAGGGACCCCGAACAGATCGACCACCATCGTGGCGACCGACCTCAAGGACGGCTTCGGCGTCAGGTATATTGACGGGTTGGTGCAAGAAGTGGACAGCCCCAGCTTGGGGCCACACGGACGCAGTCAGGAACACCAGGTGGGCACATTGTATAGGGAATGGATGGAAGACAATACATTGGCCTCAGTTACAAGTTGGTACACATGTGGGCCCAGGTATTACGGGCACAGGAGTTGCAGCTACATTGACCACCTGGTGGTATCTGCCCCATGGATAGGGAGAGTACACACGTGCGCGGCAGCCCACGACCTCACACGACGAGTTCGAGCTATACCAAGCCTGGCTGTTCTAGATCACGTGATTATCGTGGCGGAGATTGACTACAAGCTGACACGTAGTGCACCGCACCACACTTACCCAAACATGGGGCCTCTACCCCCTCAGCCGTGCGATGCGGGACGAAGAAGAGACACGACAGTTGCGCGATGTTGTGGAGACAGCCTTGGCACAACGATTACGAGGCGACGGATACCTCGAGGTGGGCGCGTGGATGCGGCAGCACACAGTGGAGCCAGCTTGGGAAGCCATTGCAACGACGATCCAGCAACGATCACAACAACAATACGGCACTACGCGACGACACAGGCCAGGGTGGCACGTACGACTGGCACGGGAACGGGTGGAGGCACTACGTGAGCGCACTAGAGCACGGGATGGTGAACTGGACAGCATACGACGACGATTACGACAGTGCGCAGGAGGGCGCAATCAGGCCAGGACGGATACCAAGTTGGCACGACAACGAAAACTCAACCAAACATTGGAGGAGGTTATCCGCACCAACCGAAAGGACGTGGCGTGGCGCATCAGTTTTCAGATGGCTGGGAACGGGCTGGGACCACGCAGAAGGAGCCACTACGCCCTGCCCGACGCCCGCCACGACCTACAGACGTGGACGGATGACCTGGCCCTGCCTGGTGTGGTGGAGGGATGGAAGCGACTATGACCACCACCCCAGGCTTCATCAACGATGTGTCGGCTTACGACTACCCCTTCCGCCTCGGCGTGGAGTATCGGGAGCTGGCCAACCGCGACTTGGACGGAGTCACGCACCAGCTGTGCCGAGGGCGACGACGGGCTGCGCCACCATGGTTTAGCTGACGGAGGTGTGGTGTCTATTATTATCATGCCAAGCCCCGCGACGAACACGTGAGGACCGACCACAGGTGGCGGGGCCACCCGCTACTGCAGGAGTTTCTGTTGGCCCAACTTGCAGGGATACGTCAACACCAGCGGCTCAATGCATGGTGGGAACTATCGCCGACCTAACAGGTCAGCAAGGTGAACCACAAACCCAGGGCACGCGGGGCACATGGACTATGCAGTTTTGCAAAGGCGTGGGTGGGCGCACAACCACCAGGAGCTGAACTACAACCGCCAGCGGAGGATCGCGGCGCGTGCAGGGACGCCTGCGCGCGGGGGCATTGACAGTTGGCAATTCGCCGCAGTGGAGACTACGCGCGGAAGGTTCGAGCCACATCACGACCAAGCATGACATGACGAACGCGTTCGTCAGCGCTAGCTACCAGCACCTGGTCCGCGCAGTCCACCAGATGTATCAGCGCGAGGACGTAGACATCATGATGACAAGACACCGCAACGCGGCATGCGCGGTCCAGGCGCGCGACGGCACGGGAACGTTTCGGAGCGGCACAGGATGTAACGTGGACGACGCAGATGTTGCAGCGAAGTCCTGGCGTTCCAGGCCCCGACAGGCGAGCGGCGACGCCGCCTATTTCCGACGGAGAAGGTGCACGATATGATAGCAGGATGCGCAGTTACGAGAGCCTTGCGATCTGGGGGTGGGGAAGTATGCCGACGACTTCACGTGTATTTACATCGCCCCAGATGCGCGCAGTGCAGCCCTGCGGGTTGACGTGTCCCGTCGGCATCTCGCCGCTGTTGTGGGGCGAGTTGGTCCTGCCCAGAGCCGAGATGAGAAAAAGCGGTCGGTCCTTGTTTCGTGGGTCGTGTGTCTCAGAGGTCCTCCAGAGCGCCGCGTGACCACGCAGTTCCGATCTCGGGGGAGGCCCAGGCCATTTCGGCATTCCCGGGGGCCCACTCGCAGATTTCGGGGGGGAACGGCGAGGAGATCCGCGCACTGTGCGCGGCGATGCGAGCGGGGTGGCGGGGCGCGGGGAAGTTCTGGAAGTCGTGTCGGCGTTTCTTTTGGGGGCGACTTGTTTCGGGCTCGCGCCCTGGAGGTGGCATCGCATCAGACGGCTTCGCGACTTTCAAGCTCTCGCCCGCCGACCCCAACGTCGCGTTCAGGAGCTGGCAGCTGGTTTCGGGATGGTCGCGTTCGAGGGCGCCGAGGTCTGGGCTTTTCCTGGGCGCCACTGGGGGCGCCGCTCGTGGCCCCCAAGGGCCGCGCGAAG